CAAAGACCGCCCGTCCTCTGAAGACAGTTACTTCTGCGTGCATAGTGTTCACGAAAGGAGTTCGTGTCCTACGTCAACTGAAGAATGAATAATAGGGCGTCACGTGGGACATCGCACCCAATCGTCAGCAATACAAGAAAAAAAAGGATAAATCCAAATGAATGAATTCTGCTCACAAGGTTTGGGGTGGTCTGCTCATACGCCATGATATACCTCTTCCCCATACGAATCAAGGTCGGTATCGACTCTAACGGTGAGGATAAAAAGGATAAAGTCTTCGCCGTATCATTCCTTTTTGGGATACGGCACTCATTCTACTCCCATTCAGAATCGTAGTGGCTTATTGAATGCGATGTGGTCCTATACAATGACTTACGGGGCCAGCCGATGTACAAGTCAATGTTCTTATCCTCCCACAAGAATCCTGTACCGTTTCCCCGAAGGGTAGAAAGTGGTTCGACAAAAGACGATGAATCTCAATTCGTGCCTGTTGATGTCTTTGCTCGGCATTGTTGTCTATAAAGATTAGCAACCCCTTATATCCCACATTAATCGGGAAGAAACTTTTCAAGTATGATTTTTATGCTTTGGCTTGAAGCCATAACGCAGATTGTTGTCGTCAATTATTATATGTCCTTTCAAATTCACTCGAGATGAACAAGACGAATATCCATGGGACCTCTTTTACGAAATAAAGAAACTCACAGCAATCGCTATACACTCGTACTTGCTCTTCTCCCCATTTCCATCCACAAATGGTGCTGGGTCAAACTGACGTAGTGGGAATGTGATTACCCGTTTGCATTTTCCCATACGTCCTTCAGATCGCAGAAATTCGAATCGCTTCAGTAAGCATCTGAAAGCAGCTTAGCTAGCGATGGTCAATAACCATCCAACAACAATCAGTAGTTGGTCACAAAAATTGAAATTTCTTCTTAAATCCCCCTCCCCAAAAAAAGCTCATTTCTTTTCTCCTTGACCATCCACGACGGCTGAGAACAGTGGACATCGGCATTTCCCTACTACAACAATGGGAAATCCGAGGCACACGGAGAGCGTGGGAGTCCCAAGGCAATTATACGCTAGAGAAGTTTCAGAACACAATTTCCCCTTCTATCAGACCAGAGAACGCGAACCACGGTCGCGTGGGGAAGAGTCAAAGGCACCTGGTACGTTTGCGATAAAGCCTTCTAACAGGCACAATTCACATAATGGCTCCACGTAAAAGATTAACGCTACGACGGTGCTAAACAATGTTCTTATAAATTAAACCGCCGATACACAAGAAGAGAGGACCGAGACAGGATTATCTAGTATCTCCTGCACATTGAAAAATCGCGACGAAAGAGACGATATCAATCCAGCTCTTTTACATTGCACGTGTGTTCCAGTTCCTTCATATGTTGAAGGAAAAACCTACACTCCTTCTGCTAAACGGTCCCCATGTCTTGAGGGAATTAATCCGTAGGCTGGCTGTGCACAGGCCAAATTTTTCCGCTAAAAAACACGGGAACGAGCTGGAGGGTAGTGGTACCCGTGGCGCCGTCTCTCAATTCAGCCCGTGCTATCCTCAAGCTGCAGTATTTGCGTCGATACCAAGATCATAGGCGAAACACGATATTCACAGCGAGAAAGCCATGACCAGACCCGCTTCTTGACCTCCCTGGATGACCATGTGGTAGCGCAGGCGGAGTATGAAAACAGCAGCCGGGTGCCACCACCCTCCAGAATGTTCCCGTGGACTTTGAACGGAGAGAGTGACACGTTACTGAAGCTGCAGAACCCCATCGCCTCAACATGGCATGAAACAAGAAAGCCACAGTGTGTGCGCCAGTTTGGGCATTGAAAGCACAGACTTCTGACGGCTTAAAATCATCTGTAAACCACTGAAGCTCGACCAAACTCTTGGCAAGTCGCCATATAGTCATTACTTTATCCCTTTTCGTCTTTTCATTGCAAGTATCGCAATGTATCAATGCATCCAAAGTCTCTGGACAACTGAATTTCTCCAGGCAATGTTCTAGGGATGAAGGAGCAAAGTGTCGAGACCAAGTTTCGGCTACCGATTCGTCATCTTCACAAGCCTAGAGAAGACGTTTTCTCAAAAACCACCACCGAAAGGGTAATACAAATGACTGATCACGTGCAAGAATGACGGAATTCGAACAGGCTCACCAGTTCTTGGGAGTGATTGTACTAGATACAATGCAATAAGGCCGCCAGTCCTACAGCTATTGCCACAATTTTTCGCGGTATACCGGCTACGAAATGAAGACGAGACTTACATCCCGCAAAATATTTTACGGGCCTTTAAATGGAAGTTTCATCACCGTGAACTCAACGTAAAAGGAGTTTGACTTCTGAATTTCTGAAAAATCAGCTTATTTTCAGCATCTACTGGAACTCACCGCGGTGGAGTCCGGTCTGATAGCACAGCCACGACAGAATCGCAGCGCAGGGCACTGGCCGCACCACTCCCAGGACTCATCGACTAGACACAGCGAGAACGGATAGCCAAACGAGATGTCTTCAGAACTAAAACACTACTCTTGGCGAAAATGGTAAGTAACACGAGGTATGAAGAAGAGAATCTCTGGTTTCAAGAAAGCCGCGAGCATGCCGATCGTTAGAAAACAATTCCCAAAACACGACTAAATATAACATTTCCAAATACTAAAACACTTTCGCTACCTACCTGTCAGCGCTTCTTATCAGATCATTATCGTTTATGCTAACGGTACTTTACGTAAATATGTATTATTGAAGGCACGCTCCTCGTACTTTCGACGTTCAGACGTCTTCTGTGGAAGGCGGTCCTGTTTTCAAGCATAGCAGAGAATGTAGCGCTCGAGACTACGTGTGGAAAGCGCGACGCGCTCACGACGAAGGCGACGCCCCGCCCACTGGCCGCAGCAGCGTCCAACTTTCATTTAAGGTGCCCTGGTGATGCGTTTGTTCCGCTACTAACTCTCCGTTGCAAATGGTGAGAGTGAGATGATAAAGGATAAAGAACTGACACCGACAAGTGAGAAGTCCAAACACGCCCTTTCTTCGTACTTTGTGAAATTTTTGAGTTATTTACCATGCTGTCATTGGTAGATGAGCTGCCCAAGTCAATCTTTTTGAAAGCGGGCGTGTCTCCAAATGGTGCGACTAGTTAGAGTAAGTGGACAGAAACGAAAAGAGCCGCACAAAACCAGTGTTTAAGAAAACTCACGGATCATGTGCACGACTAGATATTGCCGGAGATGAGACATCCATGAATCTGCGCATCTGCAAGAAATTACTAGATTGTAAAAAGTTTGGGCCGTTTTGGTTTTAAAGTGATTTCTGCAATGAGATTGCGTAATTTTGGTATCGTTCAATTGCGTTCCAAATGAAGTTGTCTTGGAGCTGCCCGGTCCGTGCGCGTACTCTACACTGTTCCCTTCACTTTACTCCGCGAACAACTTCCCAGCCATTCTTGCGCAACCATATCACGCCTCAACTCCATTAACCTTATGTGATGCTGCTAGCATAACTCCTGAAGCG